CCAATATACTACTGCAACCTTTTGTCATCGCAACTCCTCTCAAACCACACAACAGAATTTCATGAAACCTTTTCAGATAATAAGGACATACTACGTAGATGTGCATATCGACAGGAAATTACGATTCAATTTTTTTTCCAGGAGTTACGCCCCTTTGAACTTATTTGCCCAATATAGACGGGTTTATCTGTAATTGACCTAGAAAACAATTGGGGGGGGTGACGATATTTGTTCATTTGGGACGGCGCTTTCATATTTCGAAGACTAAGCGGCATGTGAAATATTTTATTCCTGGTTGCAGTTCTTGCTGAAAAAATTAAAGGTTGCACAAACAGCTGCATCCAAAGACAAATCCCAGCAAAACTAACTATTAAGGGCTCTTCCCTAAAAGCCTCGTCTTAATGGTCCATATATACAACCCGAAATTCCGACAGTTCAGTAGTCAGACGGTCCGTTATACATTCCTAATGTTATATTGTAATACTGTATTTCACTGTATTGTATACATCGGGCACTTATATATAAGAGTCTAATACAGATTAAGGATGAAAATCTACGAGACCTCTGTTTTGGGGTGGTTGGGAGGGGAGTTGGCAAAACTCTAAATGACGCTTCTAAAACATAACTAATCATCGTTTGGAATTTACATGTTGGAGTCTTTGATGGTTTCAGTGGCGGATCCAGAAAGGGGGGGGGGTTGGACGATCAATGCATTTGAATGGGGACATATAGTTGGAACCCCCCCCCCCCCCCTTTATCCTGGGTTGGGATCCCCCCCTTTTTAAAATGGCTGGATCCGCCCCTGGGTTAAATGGCATTCGTTTATATTAAGCACGGACTGGGGCATGATGTTATATACTATACATACTATAGTAGTTGTATGTCGAGTAATTTTCTGCAAAAGAAATTGGAATCGAACACTTTATAACTATAGGATTACATGGGCAATGAAAGTTCAAAACTTCTAAAGCCCATATTCTAATCGCAAAGTTATATCTACATATGGCCCGGACACCAAAGTAATACGATACGTTACTCAATTTTGAGCATTATACGTGAGTCGAACCAAAAGCACAAAACTCTCGTCTCTGTGGACCCGTCCGATTAGAGGATTGTTAAATTTTAGGACTGTCTCATTATAGGTCTGACCACGGAAATTTCTATGATTTGATATATACATTCGACCGGGCAAGACTATTTATTTTTATCGATGTAAGCGTTATAATTATTAATATCATGATTACCAAATGATTATAATCGAAATGTAACCTGGTTTAGTATTCGTATATAATTTATCATGCCTCGCATGTAACGTATCAAATACACTGAGTTATATTTTAAGGACACGACACCTGTCCTGCAATACACTTAGAATCCTTATCTAATTACTTTATTATTTATAGCACTTATAATTTTGCCGAGGTCAAGTACGACTTCACATTCTTGTGTTTACATTTAATATTATGCGGTCTGGGCAAAAGATGTATATCTTGTTTATATTTTTTTCACGGTTGTAATGGCGATCGTACTACGACGACGCCTAGGAGTCGCGTCACAAACTAAGGCAGATAATCGGAAAAACCTGTCTATACTACTGCAACCTTTTGTCATCGCAACTCCTCTCAAACCACACAACAGAATTTCATGAAACCTTTTCAGATAATAAGGACATACTACGTAGATGTGCATATCGACAGGAAATTACAATTCAATTTTTTTTCCAGGAGTTACGCCCCTTTGAACTTATTTGCCCAATATACTACTGCAACCTTTTGTCATCGCAACTCCTCTCAAACCACACAACAGAATTTCATGAAACTGTGTAGATAATAAGGACATACTATGTAGATGTGCATATTGACAGCAAATTATGATTAAATTTTTTTTTCTGATACAATTTTTTTTTCTTAAACTTATTTTATTTCTCCAATAATAATGTGGGGACGTGGGGTATGTGAGCACGCTCACTAAGGTTCTTTAATTACCTTGAATGATGATTTTTACCAATTTCTCTTATATTTGCCTATAGACTTGAAAATATGGTAGATAGAGTGAAACTTTCAACTGCAAAAATGATCAGCAAGACAAGATCTACAAATAAGTAAACATGGCTAAAATCGTGGGATGACTTTAAATAGGACTTAGAACCCCTAAATGACCATTTTTATTATTTTTTGCATTTTGGCTTAGTATGTTTATAAGATAAAATGAAAATTTAAATTCAAAAAATGATCAGCAAGACAAGACCAACATGTTTGTCTACATGGCTGAAATTGTTTGTCAACTCCTTATTAGAGTTATTGCCCCTAAATGATGTTTTTTACCAATTGTTGCATTTTTGGCCAAAAATATTGATATAGAAAATTAGTTAACAGCAAAAAAAGATCAACAGGAAAATTTCTAGAAATTTGTCAAGATGGCAGCAATTGTCTGTTGACTCTTTCCTAAGTTATTTATTGCCCTTTTATGATGATTATTTCCCATTTTGGCATATTTGGGAATTTAATTAATCAAATTGGAGTGTATACATTTTGCACATTTCCTCATCATCTTTTACCCTGACCCATCATGTGTTTAATATTAGCAAGATACACATGTATTTACTTTGATCAGTTATTTTTGGCTATAAGATAAGGATTTGACCATTCACATTATAGATATTGGAGGTGGTCAGTTTATAAAGCTTGTTGCAGTTTCAGCAGCCATATTTTGTTTCTCTGAGATTTAATTTGACCCACCCACCATCCCCTTCAGCACCTGTCTTAATTGGGGCTACTTGATAATTTATACCATTAAAAATTAAGAAAAACACATATCCATAAAAGTACATAAGGCCAACATAATTTCAGGGAAATTATTTCCCCCCAATTCATTTATTAGGTTACCTATATGTAATATAAGAATTGTTTATACAAATAATATTTCCAGCCAACTTTGATAATTTATCTTTCCAGTAAACATGCTAACATCTTGGATACATTTAATTAACATACACAGACTACTTACTACATCTTGAGAGTAATTTATCTGGCATTTGACACTTTGAAGTTACACTGCAATCTCACCAGGGAACATACTAATCTATTCTTAATCAGATACATGTTACAATTATTCACTGTGTGTGGTGAAAGGCAGGATAATTTCAGATCTTATAAAAATAATTACACATTATTTAGTATATATTAACTGAAGGTCAGTGATTTCAGTCTCCTCCCACTAGATGATTGATGTACCCAAAATCTGTGTGTTAAGCCATATGCATGGTCTTTGTGTAATCAGTTTCTTATTTCAAAGCAGTCAAAATAAGTTCAACTTGACAGTTTAACAGTGCTAGAATTCAATTTACCACCCACCAACCCCTTCCAAACACCTTCAATGATGTTCATGACATGAGAAACATCTCAGCTTTTACCAGTGATATTTATGCCCCCGCTGTAGTGGAGGGGGCATTAAGTTTTACCCTTTTCCGTCTGTTCATACGTCTCAAAATTGGTTTCCGTTCTCTAACTTTAGTTTGCCTCAACCAAATGTTATGAAACTTATACACAATGCTTTTTACCACAAAACACAGATCAAGTTGGAATTTTGGTGGTGTCACTTTTACCGTTCTAGAGTTATGCCCCTTTACAACTGGAAAAATTGCTGAACTTTTTCGTTTCCGTTCTCTAACTTAAGTTTGCCTCAACTAAATGTTATGAAACTTATAAACTTTGCTTATTACCACAAAACTCAGATCAAGTACAAATTTGGGTAGCATCACTTTTACAGTTATTGAGTTGTGTCCCTTCATAACATTATATGCAAGCGGGGGCATCATGATCTGTGTCCCATGGACACATTCCCCATTTATTTTTATTTTATAACTTGTTTTCCTTGATGGAATTATATCACTGGTCATTTCTAAAATTTCATTCATCCCCAAGCATTTTGGAGACAAATTTTATCACCATTTATTCCAGCGCCAGATTGATAGACCCTTCTACTTACTACTTGTAACAGCACCACATGGCTATCCCCCATGCAGACCTTGCACACCCCGGCTGCAGATGAGACGCCTAGTCTCATCCCCTTGGTGGAGACCCCTCGCTTCACATTCCTGGCTGGCGTATTGTCGAGCAGGCAGGTTCTTCCTCACACTACAGGTTGCAATTTGACTTGCTCGGCAGAAACTCCTAAATTCTTAATTATACTGAGTGTTTCTCAAGTGCCAAAATATTTTGTTACTGAATTTATTGTATTAATAAAAATTATTCATTCAAATATTCTGTCTGCTTTGAGCCAGTATGATTTATTGAGACTATGTTTTGGTTTACACACAGATACCCCCTTTCACACTTATGCTAATATTAAATTATTTGGGAGTTGATTTAGATCTACAATGCTCAATTTCGCTGATGGTGAGTTTATAAAATTTTTACTTGTTACAATTTACTTTTGACCTAAACTCACCATTGGGGACTTTGTGGATTGTGATATTAAATTTGAGTTTTGCTATCAAGAGAGTTACATCAGAACTAAGAAAACATTGGATCTACAAGGATTTGATTCATTACCATACAAACAGAAAATTATTTACATATTTACATACCAAGAGACAATTACAGATAATAAAACACCACCTATAAAAACTAGGTTTGCACAATCAGTCAAGTTATAACATCAAATCTATGCAGTGATGGGATCTACACAACCTTGCCTGCATGTAACATCAACTTATAGGTGAGGTACCACAGGGTTCCATCAGGGTGAGGGAGTCAAAATAGAAAAATGTAGCTAAATATTTTAAGTGAAGATCTATTTATATGACAACATCATTTCATTTGCCTGTGTAAAAAACTAGGTAGATGCATAGAAGAATGTCACATGATATGTCCTTTCAAACTCAACAAAGAAATAGCAAATTCCCTATTGACTTGTCATAGAATTACTGGAATTAAATTATTTTACAAATAAAATATTTGCTTATTGACCATTTTATCTTGTTAATTTGTTGAATTCAGAATGTAGAAATATCAAATGAAGGCTGCATAGAACTTCCAGAAGAGCCTGTGACTACACCAGGGAGATTAACTCTTGGAATAACTGTAAGTAGACACCTGCCTTTTTTATGACCATTTTGACCTCTAGAAGTCATTTGGTTGCTTTCTTACTGCTCACCCAATTTTGTCACTATAACCCGCCTACAAACAAATCTCATACAAGTGGGAGGTTTAGCTAGATATAAAACCAGGTTTAACCCTCCATTTTCTTTGCAAATTGCCTGTACTAAGTCAGGAATATTGGTTGATATACTGTGAAAGTCCTTTAATTCGTGGGATTTTTGAACATAATCATATGTTGTTTTATAATGATTTGTGGGATATTGCAAAAAAATGTGTTCATTTGCACTTACTTGTTCATCTTTCATTACTGACAACATTCATCAAATTTTTAATTAGATAATTGCTTTTCATTTTCAAGTCATCTATGCTTACACATTGTCTTAATTGAAGGAAATTGCAAAGTAAACATTTTAATCGTTGCACACCAGAAGTGATGACACTAATTAACCCAAGATGTTTGTTAATCAGTTGATCATTTGGATCAACTGATTAACAAACATCAAGAGTGTTAATTGGGTCATAAATATGTCACTTAAAGAAAACGTAACATAACAAACTAATTCTTTTGAAAGCTAGCCAAATATGATTTTTGTCGAGCCTGCGACTTTTGTCGCAGAAAGCTCGACAAATGACTTTAATAGCAGACTTGTTTTTGTACTGTTATGAATCACAGTTTATGACCAAACTCAGTAAAGACCTGTCTAAATTGCATTTAATTGATAAATTCAACAACACCTACCGTTATCTTGATGATATTTTTTCGTTAAATAATCAAGAATTTTCTCAATATACTGCCGAAATTTACCCAAAGGAACTTACTTTAAATAAATCAAATTTAAACGGTAACAACTGTCCTTTCCTAGATTTAGATATTTCGGTTTTACACGGGAAACTCCACACTAAAATTTACGACAAAAGTGACGATTTTTCATTCCCTATTGTTAATTTTCCCTTTTTGGATGGTGATGTTCCTTTGGCACCATCTTACGGTGTTTATTTTTCACAACTCGTTCGCTATGCCCGTGTCTGTTGTGACTTTTTTGATTTTAACGAACGTATAATCTATATATTACTGGTAAATTATTAAGCCAGGGATTTCGTTACCACAAATTACTTAAAACCTTAACTAAATTCTTCCACAGATATAAAGATTTGGTTTTGAAGTTTGGTTTTACCTGTAGAAAACTTATTTCAAACGGGATTGCACATCCTCATTTTTACGGCAATATTGTTTACCGTGCCCGGAAATTTAGAAACGATCCTGGTAAACTTATTGATCCTTTAAATAAACTTATTCTAAAAGCTTACCAATTCAACATTAAATATTGATTTTGTTATCAGTAAATTAAAAGCAAACTAAATATTATTGTTATATAAATATACACATTCATGGATCTACAATCTGTCGATACCTGTATCTTGGCATTGCACAAGGTCATGTTTTTCTCTGACTGTTTATGACGTCTTTACACTAAATCCATTGGATGTTGGATGTGTACGGATTGATAATTAAGTCTTAGATGCATGATTTTTTTTGTTAGTTGTTAGTGGCTTTGAACTTGCTGTCAGTAACTGCGAGTACTCTCAGATCTGTACTTAGTGTCTTTTTGTTGTTTGGATGTACAAGTACCCGGCCACGTCCACTTGTATTTGTAGTATTTGTATTTTTATCCATCTGATGAGTTAAGCCTCTTTCAACTGATTTTTAGTCCCCTACCGACGAAGTCAAAGGGGACTTTAGGTTTGCACTTCGTCCGTCTGTCTGTCTGTCTGTCCATCTGTCTGTCTGTCTGTCCATCTGTCAGTCTGGCAAATCAGTTTTCCAGACTTTTTATCTTCATGCTTGAAGATATTGATTTATCATGACAAGTTACAGGTCAAGTTCAATTTTCACGATTTTAGCTTTTCTCTTTGTTCAGTTAAAGCCCTTTCCCTAGAATTAAATGTTAGTGAAATACTTATTAATTAGTAGATTTATGTTCAAAGGGAAATAACTCATTTTTTAAAAGACTTTTAAAAGACAAAATGACATTTTGGATTTTTTTCCTTTTCTTTGGTAAATTGTTTGAAGAATTTAGTGGTAGGTTTGTTTGTCATTCTTGAAGATATTGATTTGATAATTAGTATATAGTTCTATCATGATAAGTTACAGATCAAGTTGGAATTTTGTTCCAGTCTGAAAATTTTGTGCAGAGTTATGGTCTTTGGACATAGAAAATTCACTTAAATAATCAGTTTTCATCAGTTTTTTTTGTCATGCTTGAAGATTTTGACTTGATATTTTTATGTAGTTTACACCATGACAAGTTATAGATCAAGTTAGAATTTCGTTCCATTACAATGATTTTGTAACCGGTAGGGGACTATGTATTGCCATGCAATACTCACAGAATACTTATAGTTATAGTTCGTTCTTATGTTGTACTGTTACACCACTGTACCAGGTTAGGGGGAGGGTTGGGATCCCGCTAACATGTTTAACCCCGCCACATTCTGTATGTATGTGCCTGTCCCAAGTCAGGAGCCTGTAATTCAGATGTTGTCTTTTGTTTATGTGTTACATATTTGTTATTCGTTCATTTTTATACGACCGCAAAATTTTTGCGGTCGTATATTGGTATGACGTCGGCGTCGTCGTCGTCGTCTTCCGAAGACACATTGGTTTTTGCACTCTTACTTTAGTTTAAGTAAATGGATCTCTATGAAATTTTACCATAAGGTTCAATACCACAAAAGGAAGGTTGGGATTGATTTTAGGGGTTATGGTACCAACAGTTAAGAAATTAGGGGCCAAAATGGGGCCAAAATAAGCATTTTTGTAACTTCCAGACATAACTTGTGTGTTAGTGTATGTATCTCTCTGACATTGTACCACAAGGTTCCATATCACAAAGGGAATGCTGGGATTGATTTTGGGGGTAATAGCCTCAAAATTTTAGGAATTGGGGACCAAAAAAGGGGCAAAAAACAAGCATTTTTCTAGTTTCATGACAATAACTTGTGTGTATGTGTATGGATCTTTCTGAAATTGTACTACAAACTTCCATATCACAAAGGGAAAGCTGAAATTGAGTTTGGGGGTAATTGCCCAAAATGTTTAGGAAAAAGGGGCCAAAAATAAGCATTTTTGTCGAGCCTTCGACTTTAGTCGAAAAAGCGAGACATAGCGATCCTTCATTCCTTCGGCGTCGTCGTCGGCGGCGGCGTCCACAAATATTCACTCTGTGGTTAAAGTTTTTGAAATTTTAATAACTTTCTTAAACTATCCTGGATTTCTATTAAACTTGGACAGAAGCTTGTTTATGATCATAAGATAGTATCCAGAAGTAAATTTTGTAAAAATAAAATTCCTGTTTTTCCGTATTTTACTTGTAAATGGACTTAGTTTTTCTGCCAGGAAACATTACATTCACTCTGTGGTTAAAGTTTTTAAAATTTTAAAAACTTTCTTAAACTATCTTGGATTTGTACCAAACTTGGACAGAAGCTTGTTTATGATCATAAGATAATATCCAGAAGTAAATTTGTTAAAAAAAAATTTCATTTTTTCCGTATTTTACTTATAAATGGACTTAGTTTTTCTGCCAGGAAACAATACATTCACTCTGTGGTTAAAGTTTTTAAAATTTTAATAACCTTCTTAAACTATCCTGGATTTGTACCAAATTTTGGACAGAAGCTTGTTTATGATCAAAAGCTAGTATCTAGAAGGAGAAATTTTGTTAAAATTTGTACCTGTTTATCCGTATTTTACTTATAAATGGACTTAGTTTTTCTTCCAGTTAACATTAAATACAGTCTGCAGTTAAAGTTTTTAAAACATTTATTAGATTCATAAACTATCCGGAATTTATACCAAACTTTGACAGAAGCTTCTTACAATCAAAAGATAGTATCTAAAGGAATATTTTTATTGATTTTTTTCCTCATTTTTGTTGAGCCTGCAATTAACAGCAAAAGTAGGCGAGACACTGGGTTCCGCGGAACCCTTACAAATTTTTCTAGTTTCCAGACAATAACTTGTGTTCAAGTGTATGGATCTCTCTGAAATTGTACTGCAAGGTACCATACCACAAAGGGAAGGCTGGGATTGATTTTTGGGGTAATTGCCTCAAAATTTTAGGAATTCTTTAAAATTTTCCATTTTAAATTGGTTATTTCTGATTTATATATAAAAGCAAATAATAATGATATGGTTTGAATAGGTGTTCTTAGACCACATTCATTCTGTGTCAGAAACCTATGCTGTGTCAAATATTTAATTACAATCCAAATTCAGTGCTGTATCAAGCTTGAATGTTGTGTCCATACTTGCCCCAACTGTTCAGGGTCGTATCAAGCTGCGCCCAGCGGAGCATTTTATTTGTACATAAATTAGGCCGTTAGTTTATCGTTTGAATTGTTTTACATTGTCATTTCGGGGCCTTTTATAGCTGACTGTGCAGTATGGGCTTTGCTCATGTTGAAGGTCGTACGGTGACCTATAGTTGTTAATTTCTGTGTCATTTGGTCTCTTGTGGAGAGTTGTCTCATTGGCAATCATACCACATCTTCTTTTTAGCTCACCTGGCCCGAAGGGCCAAGTGAGCTTTTCTCATCGATTGGCGTCCGTCGTCCGTCGTCGTCCGTCGTCGGCGTTAACTTTTTACATTTTGAACTTCTTCTAGAGAACCACTGAATGGAATGAAACCAAACATGGCATGAATGTTCCTTATGAGGTGCTGACCAAGTGTTGTTACTTTGTAGCCAATCCATCATCCAAGATGGCCGCCAGCGGGGGACTTAGTTTAACATAGGACCCTATGGGAAATGCATACAAATGACTTCTTTTAGAGAACCACTGAATGGAATGAAACCAAACATGGCATGAATGTTCCTTATGAGGTGCTGACCAAGTGTTGTTACTTTGTAGCCGATCCATCATCCAAGATGGCCGCCAGCGTGGGACTTAGTTTAACATAGGACCCTATGGGAAATACATA